CTTCCCAAGCGGCGCACTATCCAGTGCGCCACCGGGCCGGCCCAACTTTTTTTTTTTTTTCTTAATAAAATAGTTTTATTTAGATTTCAAACAAACCAAAAAAAATATGGAATGCTTCACGAATTTGTGTGTCATCCTTGTGCAGGGGCCATGCTAATCTTCTCTGTATCATTCCAATTTTAGTATATGTGCTGCCAAAGTGAGCACTGAATGAACTTTTAACATCCAGCTCTCAGACTGGCCACCGCCGGCTTTCTGCACCACTTCCACCCCCGCCATCTTCCACTTAACTGACTATGGGATTCCTACACTGGTGAAGGTCTTGGGAAGGAAAAGTAGTAGTGTAGAGAAAGAGGTTGACAGTGAATGGTGAAAACTGAGTCACCTTTATTAAGAATGAATCCCAAACTGTACTAGTAGTATAGATAAAATCAAAGTAGTATCACATTAGAATCAAGGAACTTAGGGCCAGTCCTTGGCTCACTTGGGAGAGTGTGGTGCTGATAACACCAATGCCATGGGTTCAGATCCCTACATGGCAATGACCGGTTGGCTCACTTCGGAGAGCATGGTGCTGACAACACCAAGTCAAGGGTTAAAATCCCCCTTACCGGTCATCTTTAAAAAAAAAAAAAAAAAAAGAATCAAGGAGCTTGACAGAAAGTGAAGAACGTCTCTTACACCAGTCTATCAAATGTGTCCCCTATAGGAGTATTTCTTAGCACCTTTGCGTGAAGTGCCCCAGAGTACTGTAACTCACAACTAACACAATTCCAGAGGGCTGGCCAGTTAGTTCAGCTAGTTAGAGCATGATGCTGATAACACCAAGGTCCAGGATTTGATGCCTTTTCATCCAATTCTTAATGGGACTGATGACCTTCTCAAAAGTGTAATGATCACTGGTAAGGGTTTTATATATACTCATTCAAACCAGCTTCCGGTGTCTGTAGTCAACTATATTCAAAACTAATATTGGCTAAACCAGAGACAGAAAATGGAAGCCTGCCCTAAATGGTTCAGTCTCATTTTTCTGCAGTTTCTTTAGTGACAGCTTAACATGTAAGGATGTAGTAGTCTTAGAGAGTTGTGGTAGTGTGAATATCTAGTCATTCAACAAAATTAGTCATTCATATGAGAAATTGTTGGTTTCAACAAATTTTTCTTCCCTTTTGGCCAATAACCAGAAGATGAAGGGAATTTCTTCAAGAGCCTGAATCTTGAAAATTGAAACTACCAAAATTATAGGACTCTATTTAAATCCACAACTATTTTTGAGTCCCTACTGTGTTCACAACATGCTAAAAACACATTCAGTAAATTTTTAAGAACTTAAAAATACTTTTTCTCTTAGGAGACTGAATTAGAGTATAATAAAGAAATACAAAACAAAGTTTGTTTTCTCAGTATGTGATCTTGATGGAAAGATTTTGGGGAGACAGGCAAACAATTAAAGAATAGTTCCCGGCCTTGAATTGTACCCAGCTAAATATTAAAGTACATGCTATAGACAAAGATGGCCATGACTGGCTAGAAAAAGCAGAAGTTACAGAAGATCACTAACTTAAAGAGGCCATTATGGAAGGTATCTATAAGTGACACTAATTAATGAGATAGGAAGTTACATTAGTTCTAAACTGTAGAGAAGATTTAGATTTGTAGGACTGGGGGAGAATTTGATGGTGTTGGCTGACAATGACACCCTCCTTGTAAATTCATAGCACCATCATTAGGATGTATATAAGGCAAGTTTTATTTGATAGTACTTTAAAAAAATTGGTCCCTAACCAATTAGGGAGAAGGATAAAAAGTATGAAGCAAGGAGAAAGGAATTGATTTTCTTTCTTTTAAAAATTTGTGGCTGGCTACTAAGGGGATCTGAATCCTTGACCTTGGTGTTATAACACCGTACTCTAACCAACTGTGCTAACCAGCCTCCCCAGGACTTCATAATGCTTGAATAAACGGTTTGAAAGTGGGAATTGGCAGAAATGTGTCCAGAACTATAAACTGGCGGAAAGAGCCCCAA